TGCAAGGTTAATGGACTTATTTGCAGTGGCCTTATAGATACCGGATGTGCTGCTGTAACACTAAGATACACTGAGGCAAAACAATGTGGAGTCCAATGGGAGCCGTGCAATGTGCTCATTAACGGCTATGCTGGAGGACAATCCAAAGCAATTGGCCAATGTTCAATCAAATTAGAAGTTGATTTAGCTGATGCCATAGTGTCTGCATTGATTGTGCCAGATGAGCTTCAAGAGGTAGCTGTGATGATTGGTCAACCGTTCATTAACAAAACAAACGTTGTTTTGGTTGTGAAAGGAGATCAGATTAGACTGTTCAGCTCACAAATGTTGGACCTACCTGAAGTTGATCAGTTACCACCATCAAAAATAAAGATGAGTGTTAGTGAAGATGTGGTTATTCCGCCTAACAATATTGGACATGTAAAGTTTAGTACCGCAAGTGACTATAATGGTGATTTATTTATAGACTTCCACGCACGACAAAAGCCACGTAATGAATACGTAGTGCCGCGATGTGTCGCCTCGACTACAGCTGGTATTTTGCCCATATTAAATATATCCAACAACCCTTTGCAGTTTAAGGTGATGGATACGATAGCAAGAGGACTTCCATGTGTTCCTGAGACCTCACCCAAAGGGGTAAGTGTTCTAAAAGTTAATGTAAAATTATCTAAGCCACTATTAATGTCTGACATCAATTGTGATCTTACCTTGAACGAAACAGAGAAGAAACGTCTTCTCGACCTTCTTAATAAATATCGCGATTGTTTTGCCCAAGACATAAGTGAATTGGGTTGTATACATAATAACAAAATGGAAATCACTTTATCAGATTCAAAACCTGTAACGTATAGGCCATATCGTTTGTCATTCTTAGAAAGGGAAAAAGTGCGCGAAATAATACGAGATTTATTAGATAACCATATAATCCAAGAATCATTTTCCCCATATGCTAGTCCCATTATTTTAGTAAAGAAGAAAACAGGTGAAACAAGAATGTGCGTAGACTATAGGGCATTAAATGCGAAAACAATCAAGGACTGTTACCCCTTACCAAGAATCGAGGACTGTCTGGAACGTTTAAAGGGTAGCAAGTATTTTACAACACTAGATATGGCTTCGGGGTACCATCAAATACCCATGTCCAAAGAATCTATCGCCAAGACAGCATTCGTCACTCCTGATGGACATTACGAATACCTAAGAATGCCTTTTGGGTTAGCCAATGCTCCTGCAGTATTTCAACGCAGTATTAACCAAATTTTAGGCTCATTACGTTTCACAACTGCTTTGGCTTATATGGATGATATTTTGTTGCCATCATCAACCTTTGAAAAGGGATATGAAGCCTTAGAAACAATACTAAAAGTTTTTCAAGATGCAGGAATTACGCTAAGACCAAATAAATGCTATTATTTCAGACGAAACTTAGAATATTTAGGCCATGAGATTTCTTCAGAGGGCATAAGGCCTGGAAAAGCAAAGATTATAGCAGTAGAGAAATTCAGAACACCGAAAAATCCTCACGAAGTACGACAGTTTATAGGGTTAGCTAGTTACTTCCGAAAGTTTGTCAAAAATTTTGCCCAAGTTGCAAGACCTTTAACAATGCTGACAAGAAAAAATCAAGAGTTTAAATGGGGAGATGAACAACAGAAATCATTTCAACAACTTAAACATATTTTATGTACGAGACCAGTATTGACTATTTATGACCCAGAATTAGAAACAGAGCTGCATACAGATGCATCAAAATTGGGAATAGGAGGAATTCTTCTTCAGAAACAAAAGAATGGAAAGTTAACTCCTGTTCAATATTTCAGTCGACAAACCAGCAAAGAAGAGCAACGATACCACTCTTATGAGCTAGAAACATTGGCTGTCGTGAGTTGTCTACAGAGATTCCGAATTTACTTGTTAGGCCTTGAGTTCAAAGTAATTACTGACTGCAGTTCCGTGCGAAGTACTTTTTCAAAGAAGGATTTGATTCCTAGAATAGCACGTTGGTGGTTAGTTACCTTAGAATTTAATTTTAAGGTTGAATATAGGCCAGGTCCTCGAATGTCACACGTTGATGCACTGAGCAGAAACCCTGTGGAAGAGCCAACTAATGAAGAAATGGACATCGATGTTTTTACAATAAGCATCACTGAAGACGATTGGGTATTGTCAGCACAATTGATGGATACTCGTTGTAAATATTTACATCAAGTCTTGTCTGAACATCCAAAAGACAAGGAAGAAGAAGCCATTCATAAAGATTATGTGTTAAAGAATAACCGTATATATAAAATCACGGATGATGGACTAAAATGGATGGTCCCGAAAAATGCACGACATGCCGTTACTGCTTATCATCATGACATGGCTGGACACTTTGCTTTGGACAAAACGTTGTCACTAGTATCACAATACTACTGGTTTCCTCTGATGAGGAAATACATTAAGCAATACATACACACTTGTCTTATGTGCGCATACAATAAAGAACCTGCAGGTAAACGACCTGGTTTGTTACACCCTATAGAGAAAGTTGCTACACCTATGGACACAGTACATATTGATCATCTTGGGCCATTTGTAAAGAGCACAAAAGGAAATATGTATCTCATAGTAGCTGTTGACAGTTTTACCAAATACCTATTTGCCAAAGCTGTTACTAGTACCAAAGTGGGACCTTTGATCAAATTTATTGACGAAATTACAGAAGTCTTCGGAACACCACGAAGAATAATAAGTGACCAGGGTACATGTTATACGAGTAAAATTTTCAAAGATTACACGGCTAAATTAAATATCAAACACATACAGAATGCCACCGCAACACCTCGTAGTAACGGACAAGTGGAGAGGTACAATAGAACTTTACTAACTGGATTAAGCACTACGACCGATGACGAAGCAAAATGGGACCAAAATTTATCACGAATTAAATTTGGAATCAATTCCTCTGTATGCAAGGGTACAGGAAAAACTCCACATGAACTTATGTTCGGATATCGTCCAAGAGGACCAAACGACTCCTTTTTGTCTTCCCTTGTGGGAACTTCAATATATAAGAACACTTTGTCAGAACGTAGAGACCAAGCTAAGTGTCATATTGAAAAGACTCAAGCTTTACAAAAAGAAAGATATGACTTAAGACGACTAGCAAATGTAAACTACAAAGTTGGAGACCAAGTTCTGATTAAAAGAAATGTGGGCATAAATGACGGAAAAAGTAAAAAGCTTCTGCCTAAATATGCTGGACCATACATTATTACTGCTGTATTAGACAATGACCGATATGTAGTCAAAGATTTGCCTGGGTCAGAGAGAAGTCAAAAGAAGTACGAAGGCATATGTGCTATAGATAAACTTAAGCCGTTTAATATTAGATGTGACAGTGATTCTGATGTGTCCCAAGAGGAAAACGTTCCTCAGGAGCAAAACGTTGCTCGTAGGGAAAACGTTTCCCTGGAATAAAACGTTCCTCAGGAGCAACACGTTGCTCGTAGGGAAAACGTTCCTCAGGAGCAACACGTTGCTCGTAGGGAAAACGTTTCCCTGGAGGAAGACGTTCCTCAGGAGCAATACGTTGCTCGTAGGGAAAACGTTTCCCTAGAGGAAGACGTTCCTCAGGAGCAATACGTTGCTCGTAGGGAAAACGTTTCCCTAGAGGAAGACGTTCCTCAGGAGCAATACGTTGCTCGTAGGGAAAACGTTCCTCAGGAGCAACACGTTGCTCGTAGGGAAAACGTTTCCTTGGAGGAAGACGTTCCTCAGGAGCAATACGTTGCTCGTAGGGAAAACGTTTCCCTAGAGGAAGACGTTCCTCAGGAGCAATACGTTGCTCGTAGGGAAAACGTTTCCCTAGAGGAAGACGTTCCTCAGGAGCAATACGTTGCTCGTAGGGGAAAACGTTTCCCTAGAGGAAGACGTTCCTCAGAGCAATACGTTGCTCGTAGGAAAACGTTTCCCTAGAGGAAGACGTTCCTCAGGAGCAATACGTTGCTCGTAGGGAAACGTTTTCCTGGAGGAAGACGTTCCTCAGGAGCAATACGTTGCTCGTAGGGAAAACGTTTCCCTAGAGGAAGACGTTCCTCAGGAGCAATACGTTGCTCGTAGGGAAAACGTTTCCCTGGAGGAAGACGTTCCTCAGGAGCAATACGTTGCTCGTAGGGAAACCGTTTCCCTGGAGGAAAACGTTCCTCAGGAGCAACACGTTGCTCGTAGGGAAAACGTTTCCCTAGAGGAAGACGTTCCTCAGGAGCAATACGTTGCTCGTAGGAAAAACGTTTTCCTGAAGGAAGACGTTCCTCAGGAGCAATACGTTGCTCGTAGGGAAAACGTTTCCCTAGAGGAAGACGTTCCTCAGGAGCAATACGTTGCTCGTAGGGAAAACGTTTCCCTAGAGGAAGACGTTCCTCGAACGCAGAACGCTGCGGTAGATTTAAGGCAAATAATAACACGTAGAAAAATGGCTGCCAGGAAGCTGAAGTAGGGCTTGGTTCTACTGGCTGATTGTTGGCTAATTTTTCTTGGTGTTATTTATTTGGAAACTTATAGCTTTAAATTTATATTTGGTTTTTGTCAGTTACAGGTTCACGAGGACGATGAACAGGGTAGCTGTGGCCGACTGTAAGAAACAGACGAAGGCCGATGACGATATATTAGGATATTAAGGAACGAGCTGAGGTTGCAAGACCCACGGTCTTGTTTTCGGAGCGGCATGAAATATGAGTAGACTTTAAGTTTAACTGAAAGTGTTGTTTTAAAAAAAAGTAATAACTTAGATTAGAAAGAGCTCTTTATTATATGTAGATAGAGAGTTAAAAGAAATATTGAAATGAAAAAGAAAAATAAGGATAGTCTTAGTTTAGTCTTAGCAAGATCTGTATCGTCATCGGATCGTGTTAAAAATATAATTGGTTTTAAAAGTGGTCGTTTGAAGTTTTATTGGAGTGTTTTTCTATTAATTCTGTTTATATAATAGTTGTTATATTAACTATTGGCGGCAGCGGTCTTACTGTGAAAACCACAATTTTATGAAATATCTGTTTTAGTTTTAATGGCAAGTCGACATTCACCTACAAGACAAGTGATATGTAACAGTGTTTGTGCACGTTATTATAAAATCTACAAAACCATGCACAGGTACAGCATTTCGATATTAATATCAAAATAATACTATGGCAGATTGTAATAGAAATATAGAAATACTATAATGAAATTTCGAAAGGTTGTGTTATATATTTATTTATTTAGTTATAAAAATACTACGTAAATTGCGTCAACTTATCTATTTACTACAGTACATGTGGTTAAATAGGATCTTTTAATACATACGGGGTGGGTAAAATAATTGGGACTTTTTGTATATATACCGGGTGCGTCTCGAAAGTGGATCATCTCCTATAAGTTATTTATTTTTTCAGATAAAAAAACGAGATTTGGTATATTAGTATATGACATAAATTAGGATTGATTGACGAATTCAGTTTTTGTGGTTAATCCCTGTTTCATGTTTTTTGTCACTTCCTGTTTCACCGGAACTGACTACAGTACGTCTGTTCGTTCTGTAGCTACGGGGTATCCGTGAGAGGGGAAACGATATTCTCTCGATGTTTTTCGTAAAAAAATAGACGACGCGTACCATCAATAAAAATTCAACAAATTTGCAAGTAGCCAATAAAATGAGTAGGCGGAGCGATTTGCGGTGACGTACTCGTTAAGTCGACGTATAAAATACATTGCTGTTTATTTAAATATTTTTTGTCCGCATTCCTTTCATAGACACAGATCCAGCAGACGTACTGTACAACTTTTGATTTTTAAATAGCACCCCCGGTATTTTTTACTTTATTAGATAGAAAATAACACTCTGAATATAATGACATATGTATAAAAGTTCTAGTCATTTCCGGTGAAACAGGAAGTGGCCAAAAACAACTGAATACGTCAATCAATCCTATTTTATGTCATATACTAACATTCCAAATCTCATTTTTCTATCTGAAAAAATATAAAAGTTATAGACGTGAGCCACTTTTGAGACGCACCCGGTATACAACCGTATGATTGAAAAAAAAACGGCTGGGAAATGACAATCGATGATAATTTTGGCAAGGTCGATCTCTAAGCGTAATTTACAAAAAAATGACAAAAAACTTGTCAAAAATTTACACTAATTATAAAAAGATTAAAAAAGAATAGAATATTTCCATATATTATACAAATCTATTTCCAAAAAAAAAAAATTCTGGAATTTTAAACTAAACCATTAAAAAATATTTTACTCACTATAACGACCTTCTTAAAATCCAACTGGCAGTAAGCGCCATTAAAAAATAGAGAAGAGTACGTTTAACCTCGCCAAAATTAACATGGATTGTTATTCCACAGCCGTCTCTGACGCAGTTTTTTTTGCGATCGTATGGTATGTAGACGAGAAAAAAACTCAATTTACAAGATTTTTCAAGACCTGTGGGGGTTATTTTTTTTTTTTTAGTTGACTACGTTTTTATACTTTTTGATATTTAGTTTTTACCAAGAATTATTTATTTCTACATTATTAATTTTTTATATTACTTAAAATTCTTATTTAAGGAGTTGTAATAAGTTCGCATTCTGGATTAAATTTAGTGCAGTGTATCTCGAATGGACATTGCAAAAATTTAATGTTAGAGATAGAATATTAAAAATTATACAGGGTGGGTCTTAAATAAATGCAAATATTTTCAGGGCTGGTAGATCTCTATAAAAGAAATATATTTTCTCTTTCCCAATTTTCAAATAAATCCCAAATTACCGAGTTTTTTTTACTTTAAAAATTTTCAAAAACATAATTTTTTGCTAAAATTTTAAGAACCACTGGATCTTTCTTGCAAATTAAACCTCCTACTTATGTTGCTATATTATCAAGAAATTATGTTTTTTAACTAAAAATTAAACAAATTTTCAAAAAATTCTAAATTTTCAATTTTTTTTTCGCGAAAAAAACTCATAATCGTGTTTTTGGGATCGAAATATACTACCCCTAAAATTATTTGCATTTATTTAAGACTCACCCTGTATACTCTGTTAGTATTCAAAAATGAGACTTTTAGGTAAGTATATATAATACAAATTGAAGAAAATTCTAATATGCAGATGCAGATTTAATAGGTATACCCTGTGATTTCCGAAAACGTGGTTACAGTAGGTATACTCAGAGAATATCATTACGCATTCCTGAATTGTTATTGGCTGTATCATATCACATAGGAAAATCACAATTTATTCTTCCAAAAAAGGTTGATAAGCACCCCTCTTTGATATGACGTAACGACTTAGACTGTCTATTAGGTAATGCCCTTCCCTGAATATTAGTTTTGCATATACATCTATGTGTTTCGTTTTTGTGTATATGACATAAATTAGGATTGATTGACGTATTTAATTGTTTCGGTCACTCTTTCGGGAATAGCCCTGGATAGTAAACTTCTCTGGAACAGGCATATTAAGAACATTACCAGCAAAGCCACAAAGGCTCTCATGATATGCAGAAGACTGGCGGGAAATAGGTGGGGCTGCGCCCCTAAAATTTTGCGCTGGATGTATACCATGATAGTAAGACCCATGATTACATATGGAGCAGTTGCTTGGTATACAAAACTAGAGCAACGTACAGCAAGGCAAAACCTGTACAAAGTACAGAGACTGGCATGTATCTGTATCACAGGTGCCATGAGAACATGTCCAACAGCTGCAATGGAGGTCATTTTAGACCAAACACCACTGCACATTGTCGTCAGTAGTTATGCCAATGCGACAATGATTAGAATGGTCATTGACGGAAAAAGTACTAGGAGAATTTTTAGGTCAGAGGCTTGGAACACCCTCAAAAAGAAAATTCCACTTCTCCAACTCCCAGTGGATATACCAAGAATTTACAACTTTGAGAAACACCTCACTGTAGTATTGAGTAATAAAAAGGATTGGAAGGAAGAAACGCTTACTCAGCATATAAAAGACCATACCATAACGAGGTATACTGATGCTTCCAAAACCAAAGCAGGGACAGGGATAGGAGTATTTGGGCCGAAAACCAAATACTCCGAACCAATGGGCACCTACCCCAGTATCCTTCAGGCAGAAATTTACGCTATCGAAAGATGTGTACAATTTATCTTAGGAACTATCGAAAACAGGAAATTGCCATCCTATCCGATAGTCATGCAGCACTAAACGCGATCAACTCAGTAACCATCAATTCGAAGTTGGTCAAAGAATGCCTAGAGAAGCTCAACAAGTTGGGCAAAAAAAAGTCCTCCTACTCTGGCTGCCTGCTCACCAAGGGATAGAAGGCAATGAAAAAGTAAATGATCTAGCTAGGAAAGGAGCGAACACTCCACTAACTGCACCAGAACCGTTCTGTTTTCCAAGCGGAAACAAACTGAAACCGGAACTGAAGAATCTGGAAGACTCCAACTGCAACTTAGAATGAGTGCCCTCCAACAGTCTAAGACACTCGAAAAAGTTCCTTAGAACCTACGACCGAGAAAAATCAAAGGTTTTCCTTGATTTAAGTAAAAACAATCTTCGGATTATCACGGGGTTTCTAACAGGACACTGTCTCCTCAACACCTCAACACCTCAGTAGGCTGAAGCTGAGAAACAACGGCGAATGCAGATTCTGTGGGGAATATGGGGAAACATCAGAACACCGCATCACTGAGTGCGCCGAGACGACGGCCATTCGTGCCATGAACTTTGGTACGGCTGATGTCAAGGATGGAGAGCTGGCCTCTGTGGAGCCGTCTCAGATACTGGCTTTTGTTAAAGCCTTGAGACTGTATGATGAGTTATAACTCGTTATAACTCAAGAAAGGGGAACACACAATAGATCTTTAAGGTCGCGGTGACTATAACTCCCCTCCTAAACATTCTACATACATTCGGTCACTTCCTGTTTCACCGGAAATGACTACAACTTTTGATTTTTAAATGATACCCTCGTTTTTTTTTATTTTATTCGATAGAAAATGACACTGTGAAGAGAATAACATAATATATGTAAACTTTTTTTTTTTATTTTTAATTGGCACCCTCGGTATATTTTTACTTCATTCGATAGAAAATGACACTCTGAGAAGAATGACATATTATATGTCAACTTTTGACATTTTCGCATATGGTTTATTTGAAATTGCAACATGCGGTTCATAATGGTAATTTGACTCGAAATGCCAAGTGTGTGGCAGCAAATTATTCGCAAAAAATGCTTTTTCCAAATACGCTAATGAGCCACCCTCGTTCCATTTGAAAAAATTGAAATATGACTTAAAATACAATTTGGGCATCTTTTAGCCGACCAGGAAAAGACAATAAAAATATTAGACAATCAAATCTATTTTTCCAAGGTTCCTTTATAAAAAAAATTAGTGTTTTTCACATTAATTCAGCTGCAGTTAGTGTTTAAGCCATGGATTGAAATATAATATACTATATATAAGAATAAAATAAACAAATACCGAGGAGGCCATTTAAAAATCAAAAGTTGTAGTCATTTCCGGTGAAATAGGAAGTGACCGAAAACAATTGAATACGTCAATCAATCCTAATTTATGTCATATACTAACATACCAAATTTCATTTTTTTTATCTGGAAAAATAAAAAAGTTAAAGGGGTGAACCACTTTTAAGACGTATCCGGTATATGATTTTAGAAAATGCACCAAATTTATAGTACTTTTTAAGGTACTTTAATTTTCATATATTTTTGTGTACCAAAAAAGATAAGACGTGATTAAATCAGAGATTAAATCTGGTTCTCGGAATTACGTTGTGACTCTGACGACACCAGTAAAGAATCAATCAGGGTTGTACAAAATTCAAACAGTTTAACAGCAATTATGCAAGTTCTCATTGGTATTTTTATGTGTCGGATGTGAAACACCGTAGTTGTGGGAACGAGGCTTTAGCTAACAGATTAATGTGATTAGTTATATCAGTACGAACGTTCTGCGTCAACATTTTCACTAGTAACAGAAATAAGTAAGTAATATTGATGTGTGGTGTTAAAAATTCAGTAGTTTTATTTATGTTTTATTTCATAACTGTGTGCGGGTTATATTGTTTCTTATATTAGTAATTTGCAAGTACTTAGTAGGTAC